TAGGGTTGTTGCTGGAAATGGTGGCCGCGTGCGAGAGGTGTTGGTTAAATGGAATTCCTTGCCAGTAGAAGACGCCACTTGGGAAGCTTTGGAGGTGCTTGTCGAAAAGTTTCCCCACCGTAACCTTGAGGACAAGGTTGTATTTGAAGAGGGACGGAATGATAAGCCACGTCGTAGCATGCGAACCATCCGACCTAACCGGCGCTACTTGGACTAGTTAGGATCGTGGCTCATGGGTCTCTATAATAGCTTCCTTATTAATAGCTTCTTTATTATTATAATTCCTAGTTATTATATTTTTATAGTATTTTAGTTAAGTTAGTCTTCTTTAATTATTAGGATTAGAATTATTCCTTGATTAGTTTACGTAGCTTTAGGATTGTCTTTCTTTTCTTTTCTATATATTTCAACCAACGTGATAAACAGAAGCACGTCGAATAAATAAAGTTTTCTCTAGTTTTTCTTGCAATTCTTGCGTAGAAAATCTCGGTACCAAAGCGATCGCATCATTTTTATAGTGTTACAACTTTGGTATCACTAATTCTATTTTTCTTATGGTAAGTTCACACTCACCTACACATAACTTTCACATGTTTGTCGGACATGTAACTTCTCAGACGTCCTAAGACATTTGTAGACATATTTTTATTCAAAATTAAATTAAATTTCAAATAGTTTTAGTTTATTATTATCTTTACTATTTCGTTACAACGAACCACTCTAGTCATCATGGACATAAATTCAATTTTGACTTGAGTTCGAATTCGTGAGCAATACTTATTAGGTTAACCTCCTCATATGTAGTTATTAAATATGATTATTTCTCAGGTGGTTTGAAAACTATTACACAAGAACATAGTTTACTCAATAGTTTATGAGTAACTGTAAATTCTTATTTCGAGTAGGGAAAAAAAATCCAAATTTGCTGTTACTATTTGTTAATGAGTTAGCTGCGCAGACCCTTGTGAATTTTCTTTTTAATTGACAAGAGAATTTGGGTGCAAGGACGAAACAAAATATGGTCGAAGTAGACGAGGAAGATAACAGAGAGAACAAAGAAGGAGACAACGTTGATGCAGAGGAATAGCGGCGTATGTCATTTGTCTATTCTGCAGATCGGGTAGAATCTGCATCCAATCTTTGCCAGTTTTTCCAAAAAATTTTTGTCTTTCTCTCTCTAAAGCTGAATACAATGAGTTGAAAAGGAATCGCAAGGTTGAAAGCTATCCGATGATAATACCTAGGGCAAACTCGAATGAAGAGTCCTTCGTCGATCGAGAGATAAATTAATTGATAGGGTATCAAAGAGTATGATGAATATGGAGTAGAGATGGGTGTACATGTGTGTGTTATAAGATGAGAAATAAATGGTATTTCACACAGTTTTATGTCAAAGAAAAATAGGATGTAAATGCTAATTCGTTTAACATGTGTACTTTTCGCGCAACTACTCATATCACAGAGGTGTCACTTGCTAAAAACTCAATTTTGTTTGCCCATAAAACGGTCTTTTGCCAAAAATAGCAACGACAATAGAAGGGTATAATTGTATTTTCGCATCCCACAACTTTGAAGCCTTATTTCTGCAATTGAATTTCTGTTCTCTTTAATTCATGTCTTAACTTCTAAGTTTTACCCCCCAAATGCAATTTGCTTTAATCGTTCCTTCCAGATTATTCGATCAACGCTCAGCATTTTCCGTCGCTGTTTCACCGATCGATCTCCGGCCAGTTTTCCGGCAGCGATCCAGATCAACCCTAAGGTACGCACCACCACCGATCTAGGATCGTCGTCCATATCAGCATTTCCCATTTCCAATTCTCTAATTTAATTTTATCAGAATTCTGATTATTTATAGCTTTCAGCAATCGAACAAGTTTTTGAATTCGCATTACTTTGGTGAATTGATTATTGTTTTTTTTTTTTTGTGTGGACTGAAGGCACTTTTTTTCCGGCGAGGAGAGGAGGCAAAAAGATGAGTCAAGTATTCGAAGGTTACGAACGCCAATACTGTGAGCTATCTGCTAATCTTTCCAAAAAGGTTACTTCAGCTAGTCTCCTTGATGGCGGTAAGAGAAGATTTCATTTTATTTTTTGCCGGTTTTTTTTTTCAATTAATTATATAATATTTGTAGAAATACCATTGTATAAGAATTATTAATATTATGATGTTAGTCTCTTTATATTGCATGCATCTATTTTTTTATGGAGGGTTAATTGGTATATTGAATTGCATGCTAGTTTTTTAGAATGTGTTGCTGTTTCTAGAAAGAATAACTGACCCAATTTCTGTTGAACCTGATTATCTATGATAAGCATATTTGAGTTTTCGAGCGTTTAATTTGATTGATTTTCTTGTTTGCCCCATCTTATGATTGATTTTTCGTCTTCTTCCTACTGGAAATTGTCTAAATATGGTTTTATGACAAGTGTTGCACTTTATTTTAGGAGGTTTACTTTTCGACTTAAAATGTCGATTTGAATCTGAGTGATACTTTTAGCCATCTGAGGACTAACGATTTGCTCTGCTTAAAGAGTTTTGGCACTACGCCTGGGCGAAGCGTTTCTCTATTTTTAATTTCTTGCTATTTTGATAACTCAATGAGGATTGCCGTCACACTTAAACTATGAGATAGAACTCTCCACTTTCAGTTTATCTCGGAAAGTATATAGAAAATCTCTGTATCCCTTGATAATTAACTGTTAAATTACTTGTGCAATTGAGATTATACCCTCGGGATTTTGTGTTCTGTTTGTACATTTGCTTGATGTCGGTACATAAACTACAACTGATCTACATGCATTCACATTTTTCGAATGCTTTTTCGATAGTCTATTATGCCGAGTGTAGTCTCTCTTACGTGAGTATGACAGATCATATTGTGTACAGGGAGTGATCCCCTTACCGACTATTTAATTCTGCTCTTATAATTTCTGACCCCACCCCACCCCACTCCACTCCACCCCACCCCAACCAAAATCTGGTAGTTCCGACTTTAAACTTATATATTTCAGATCGTGTAAATCGTGCAATAGGCACAATTTGTTCATCAGTTAATGCATAATTCATTTTTTTTTTCACGAGTAAGATCTTCACGAGAGCTATATGTACGTTCTTTTGTAATTCACTTTCATTGGCTGAATATATTTGTTGATGATAGATACCTTTGACAATTGCAGAACAGAAGAAACAGAAAGTATCTGAAATCCAAGGAGGATTGGAAGATGCCGAGGCACTGGTAATTGACTACTAACAGAAACACATTAAAAGAAATATATATATATATATATATATATATATATATATATATCCCTTTTGAAGTCTATATTTACATATGATCTGGGCTTGATATCCTAGATACGTAAAATGGATCTAGAGGCTAGAAGTTTGCCACCAAGTGTAAAAGCTTCACTTCTTGCCAAGTTGAGAGAATATAAAACAGATTTGAACAATTTGAAAGCCGAAGTGAAGAGAATCACATCAACGAATACCAATCAAGCGGCACGAGATGAGTTGATGGAGTCGGGAATGGCGAATACGCTGACGGTACTAATGCCTTCCATTTTGTTTGTACTTTCATTCTTATTGAATCGAAATCATTTCTCCTTAGCAATTGAGAAATGGGGGGTACCTTATACTTGTATAATTTATTTTCGATTCTAGAAATATGCCCATGTTAGTGGTTGATATTTATTTGGCTGCGTGTGTAATTTCATCGTCAATCGATACAGGCATCAGCGGATCAAAGAGGAAGGTTGATGATGTCAACAGAGAGAATAAATAAGTCGAGTGATAGGATAAAGGAAAGTCGAAAAACAATGCTGGAAACCGAAGAGCTTGGAGTCTCTATTCTTCAAGATTTGCACCAGCAACGTCAATCACTCTTGCATGCACACAGCACAGTACGTCTCGTCTTTTGTGTTTTTTTCTTTTTTTTTTGCAATGAATAATGAGTATCAGATTTGAGCCAATCGAGATTAAGATTATCAAACGTGTTCTCTTTTGCAGCTTCATGGGGTGGATGACAACATTAGCCGAAGCAAAAAAATTCTGACAAACATGTCCAGAAGAATGAGCAGGAACAAGTGGATAATCGGCTCCGTTATAACTGTCCTAGTTATAGCGATTCTCCTCATTCTTTACTTCAAGCTTACCCATTAACTTACCAGGTTTGATTGTTGTAATCCTTTTTTTTGAACGTGCATGTTTTCTGAACAGTATTTGGTGAGTTGTAATTGTAATCTTGTGCTTTCGTCCATGTCTAACGTTGCTCGAGTTCTTAACCTTGGATCTGTTACCGTTTGGTCTTTGTTTGCTTTATGCAATCCATGAAATTAAACCAGTTTAACTTCCTCTTCCTATGATGCTTTCGATCGAGTTTCTGAGAATATCCTCTATTAGAGCCTCATAATCTAGAGATAACAATGGTATGTGTATATATATATATATATATATATATATATATATATATATATATATATATGGGGTAAATTACTACCACCCCTGAAGCAAGGTCAAATTACGAAAACCGCTCTCTTGTTTGGGTAATTACAACAATTCCCTCAACTATGAATCTTCTTATTCATTTACCCTTATGGTGTCAAATTCAACATAATCTTCTAAATTTCGTGGAATGTTCTCTAGTTTGTACTTTTCTTTTTTGCAAAAATGCAGTTTCTGATACACCAAAATCTGATATTTACAAGTCAAGAGACAATGTGGAGTAATGGGGTAAAATGGGCACAAACTGGAGAATATTCCATATTATCTAAAAAATTCCACTAAATTTTAAATTTGACACTGTAATGGTGGACGTGTAAAAATATTCATAGTTGAGGGAGTGGTTGTAATTACCCAAACAAGAGGGTTTTTTTTCTTCGTAATTTGACCTTACCTCAGGGGATACCCATAATTTACCAGGGGATACCCATAATTTACCCCATATATATATATATATATATATATGCAAAATGAATAAGTATGTCATTATATAACAAACTGCTACATAAAAGCAAAACATTATATCCTCAGCTAGAGAATAAGATAATAAAGCTTCTCATAGATATTACAGTGTGTTACACTACTAATTTCGACATATGAAACCACATTTCGACTTTCACATTCTTCCTATTAAAACAGATAAAAATCCGTACCAGCAGTTTGATTTTTCCTAATCGTACTCTTCCTCGTCATTTTCTGCTGAAGCAGGTTGCCCATTCAAATCCACACTAACACCGTTAACCTTCCTCACAAACTGGCCCTTCACACGTGGTCTTCGTTCCGCAAGTTTTTTCCGATTCACATACCTTATCTTTTTATCGAAGCATCTTTCCTTTCGTTTCTGCCTGAACTTAATCAAGGCCGCCACTCTACGGTCAACACTAGTCAACTTCACTTCATTGGACGAGCAATTTTCAGATGAAGGCCATGGATTTGGTGCAGGCATTTGACCTGGTTGTGGGTACATACCAAAGGGGTAATATGGGTAAGATGCCATCACTGGAATTTGAGGAGGGCATTGTGGGATTTGATTGTAGTTATGTACATCAGGTTGGTTGTTGTGATACATAGAAAACGACGACATCATCGCTTGATTCATAAACGCGGAGATGTAATAAGGATAGAACTCTTCGTTTGAGTTCCTCTCGATAGGAAAAGATTCGGGATTATTGTCTGTTGCTGCTAATGAATGGTTATCGCGAGTTTCTCTGCTATCGGGTATTTGTATGCTTGGATTCTCCATAATGGTCAAATGCTGAGGTGTATTTTCGTGGATTGAAGAAGACGAACCCTGGTTGGTGCTTTCGACTGTGCTTGATTTGACGTAGGTGAAAAAGGCAGAAGATTCGCCTATCTTCAGTTCGCTCTTGTTCGGAAAAGATGGCATTTGTCCTGGAAATATTTCAAAACCACAGTTAGATATATGTAGCGTCTGATAAGCTGTTTTAAGAGCTGATAAGCTAATACAACTTATTTTTCAAATTATTTTTTTAAGTGTTTGGATAATGAGCTTATAAGTTGTTTTTACTCCTTATAACATCTTAAAAAAGGTAGGTGGGGTAGATGTATTTTTTAAACATATCGTATTTGCTCTCCAACAGCTTGTTTTTTGATTTTTTTGGCTCATTTTGACAACTTATAAGCTTAGCCAAACAGCTTATAAGCTCATTTTGACAACTTATAAGCTTAGCCAAACACCCTCTTAGTATTTCGTAGGTAGTCAGAAATTGAATAAATTGTGTAATCCATTCATTCACCTGTCCGTCTGTCACTAATGCTTGGCACTTCAGGCCGACACTCTGAACGAACCCCAATTGCAGTAGCTATAGGAGCGGCGATGGTGCTATTCGTCTGAAAAAATGGGAAGGGCGAACAAATCCCGACGGAGCAAATGTTAGTTAATAAACAACTAATTCAACAGGAGCTGAAAATCCCAAGTATTGGATAACTTTGTTGCGACTCGCGAAAAAAAAAATCAAACCCACCTCATTTTCTTGATGGGTTGAAATATGCGTCTCTGGGTTAATGCTCGTTCCGGATTTGTCATCTGTATCATCCGAAAATAAAGTAGTGCTGCTTGTATTAGCATCACTATGGCCCGACCCAACTACATCAAAATCGTAACTCACAATCTTCTTCTCCACTAGTCCAAGCTGTCGATTGAAAAAAAAATAAGTAGATACATAATTATTACATAAACACAAACGTAATACACAATGTCAAAAAAAAAAAAAAAACACGAGTTACTTTGTTTGAATTAAAAAAGAAAAAACTAGAGCATACCATTCGCCTTCTTCTCCAGACGTGAGTCCACAAGTTCAACAGCTCATTAGTACGTAACGGCTTCACTAGGTAGTCAGCTGCTCCAAATTTCAGGCACTTGACGACAATAGGGACCTCATCTTGCGCTGACATCACTAGAAACCAAACAAAGCAACCGTAAGAATCTATATCGGGCTTCACTATAAAATTTGAAATAAAAAACAACAATTATACTTACTGATGACGGGTACACGTCGCAACCCTTTGTCCCTCATGATATATTTCAACATTTTCAATCCTTTTGATACTGGTAGGTCGACTTCCGAGAGAATAATATCTATATCAGGCCCCTGAGCATTTAGTGCCTCGATCACTTGCCTCGGTGACTTTACGGAAGTCACTGAAAAGAAAAGGGCCAAAAATCACGTAACAGTTAAATGCATATACGTTGTACGGGATATACGATCATCTAAGCTTCATAGCAACAGTCGAATTTCAAAGTGGTAATCAACTCTCTGGAATCAATGACTACTTTGTATGCTTAACAACACTGTATATTCAAGAATCGAAATATATTATCTGCTACATATGAACTCCTAGTTCTCTGCGTTTCTTCTGGAGCTTGTCTAAATTTCTTCTCATTTGTCATGTCTTAACACGAACTAACTGAAGTAAGGTCAAATTACGAAAACCCCCCTCATGTTTGAGTAATTACAACCACCCATCAATTATGAATCTTCTTACATGTCCACCCTTATGGGGTCAAATTCAACATACTGTTCTAGATTCCATAGAATGTACACCAGTTTGTACTCGTTTTGTACAAAAAGACAGTTTCTGATGCACACCATAATCTAATATTTACAAGCCAAGAGATCTATCTTTCATCTTGTTTCTAATTGTGGAGATCGAATGGGGTAAAACGGATACAAAACTAGAGAATATTCCATATAATTTAGAAGATTCCACTAAATTTGATACCATAAGGGTTGACGTGTGGACGTGTAAGAAGATTCATAGTTTAGGGGATAGTTGTAATTAGTTAAACATAAGGTTGTTTTTTCGTAATTTGACCTTCCCTCAGGTGTGTCCGTAATTTACCCCCATAAACTATGAAGTATTGATTACTTTATATAGCTTCTTACACATGAGCAACAGTTTCTGAGATCTATAAATTACCTACACCAGTCGACGGCGACCATAATAATTTGTGAATCGGGTTAATCGAACAACACGCAACTTCCAACTAAATCTATGGCAACATAATTAATACTTGAGCCATCAATTAAACCATAAAAAACATCAATTCAACTATAAAACATCAATTAAACTGTATTACATCAATTAAACCAGTAATTAAACTATGGAAAAATAACCATCAATTAAAAATATCCACAAAATTCCTAATAATTAAGAAAATAAAAATTAATTAAAAATCATACCTTGATAAGAACATTGAGAGAGAAGTGTAGAAATCTCGCCGGAGCTTTTTTCATCATTTTCGCAGAGCAAAATCCTCACCTTACTCCGATCAATAAATCCCTCCCCACCACTCCTCTCCATCACCTTCCTCCGCCGCCGCAAATGTAACCCCGGTTACAAATTTCTTCTTCTAATTTCCGGAAATTCACATCAAACCTTCACCAATAAAAAAAAAAAAAAAAAGAGGAATTGCCAAATTCAACGCCGACACCTGTCACGAATCCGCGCACTTTAGCACCGACCAATCGGGCCAGTCTCTATATTTTATCTGGTAATCCAATGGCGTCGTCTTTTTGTTCAACCGGTGGTGGTGGGTGCTAACATGAGCTTCGCAACTTGGAGAGATGATCGGCCGTTGAGATATGGGAACTGAGGGTGTGGATGGTGGCGCAGGTTAGAGAAAGGATGACGTGGAAGGAGAGAGGAATTAGAAAAAAAGTGTTTTGTCTCGATGTCAGCTGGCAGGGAAAGATATTTTTTTAGAGGGAGAGAGGGTGCCACGTCACATTAAAGATCTCGGAAAAGGAAGAGAGAGGAGAGATCTGAATCAAAAGAAAGATTTCAAGTTTCAACGCGTTTTTCTTATGGGACCCACATCAGTTTTGTGGGATATTTCATTTTTGACTGACATATTGATAAACAATCTCAACTGTAATAAATTAAAAAATTCAGATTTGTTAAAGAAAGGTGTTGAAATTGGAGAGATTTTTTTGAATTTCTTTTAAGTATAGATTTTAATCTGATACATTTAATTTTCATCTTTTGGTTAATCTTATTTAAAATATCGTATATGCTTCAATTATGGTTGGCAATCGGGTTATGTGAGTTGAGCTTGGGTCAGTTCAATCTCATATATCATTAGATCTTGTTAGCTCAAACTTATATCCATCGGGCCTTATTAGTGTTAGGGTCAAGTTCGACTCATGCATTTTTTCGGGTTTATACCGGGGTCATTACTATATAACTGTAATAATTAAAAAAATTATAAAAACAAGTGATAAACAAGATTTATCTTCATTGAAGCCAATCCAAAAAAACCGTAAACAATCTTTACAAGTTACTGGGAAAACTCAAAAACAAGACTAAAAGAACTAAAAAAAATTAATAACTTTAATTATTGGAAACGTTTTATATTCTCAAATCTTGGTGATAAATATCAATAATTGGATTTCGGTGGGTATTTTGCATTTGATTCGGATTTTACTCAGTGCCACCACCACCACTTAATTCATTTATTTTGCAAAATAAAATAGTCTCATACGACCACAACGTGTATGTTGTCATAGCATTAAAATAATAAATATATTATATATTTCATTATTAACCTATAATCGGTTTGGCTTTATTTGGATTCAGCCATAGTAGGCTCAAACTCGGCTCATAAATAAATTAAGTTTAGTAAAATAGCTCAAACTCAGCCCCGACTCACTAAAAAGTAGACACGGCTCAAATATAATTGGGCCGAGCCATCGGGCTTCGGTTAGGCCCGGCTCAATTGCCGGTCCTAGCTCCAATATATGATAAATACTTTATGAGCTGATAAGATGTTAAATTTTATTTTAAAATATTTTTTGAATTATTTCGATATGAAACTTATAATCTAATAAAATATTTTAAAGAAATAGATTATTAAATTCAAATTTTAATCCCACTTGTATATTAATAGGAAACATTTTATTATTTTCTCAATAAATATTAATTTTTATTATTGAGATAGTAGGAATATTTGTTTGTTTAATATACATATAAAATATGAATAGAGAATAATTTATCTTATCATCATTACCATAAGTTTTATAGTAATATTACCTTATATTTTTAAATAATTATTAATCTTGATTACAAGAATACGTTGCTCGAAAAAAAGATATTAATCATGTTATACAATAACATAAAATAATTAAGGGTAAATTTGTATTTTGAATCATCGCAATGTCCTTAGATGTGAAATTATTAAACCTAGAAATCTCTAGGTAAAGAATATTTTTGTTTATTGTTCAAATCTAACAATCCCTTTTTCTAAGTACTTGATGTGTATAAATCGTTATTAGAATGATTTATTAATTAAAGTCTATAATTTATTTATTAAATGAAATACTAGGATTTTAAAGCATATGTAGTTCGTTGAAAGCAATTTTTTTTTTTCATTCCAATTTCCTCGCAGATAATCCGCACTTTCTATAAAGGGGAAAAAAGTTGCGAGTGGTGAAGTACGTAGAAGAGTGAGGTCACCCTGGCAATAAATAAAGCGTGGAATAACACGACGTCGGGCGTCAACTGCCTGAAACCTATTACCAGCATCATGGTAAATAGCAAGTAGTATATCGACTAATGACAAGCGAGATAAAGAAAGCAACAGGCCGTATGTGTAAAACCTTGCCACGGGAGAATGACCCAAGTACACCGTAAAGCACCTGCTATGAGGTAAAAAAAACATCGACCACCCTCTGTGGGATGTATAAAATTTATGGCGTTATTTTGGCATTCAAGAAAATCTTGATACTAACCAAGTCCCCCACCGTGAAAGCGGTACCCCCTGATTAAACTTAGTTAAATCACACCGGCTCAAAATTTCCACTCGGAACAATTACATTTTATTGGAGACATCAATATTAAGTGATATATTTCGGTAACAGCTTAATTTTTTTAGTTGTGATGGTCATTCAACATGGTATCAGAGTCAAATCAAATGAAAGGACCTGAGCCGAATCCCAGCGTCACCAATTTCAAATATTTCAAGTGCAATGCTTCAAATGTAATTCGCCATTTTTCTTCCCTTTCTTAACCCAATCAACCAAACCTTCACTTGGCAAAAATTCAACCAACTCTCCCATTGCACTTGCATTTAATCCAACTACCCAATTAACCTCACTATCCAGCCCACCAACCATGTAGCCAACTAACCCCACTTCCCAGCCCATCACCAAACCCACCCATAAATCCAAGTCCAGTCGGCCCAAAAACTACAAGTCAATCAAACTTCAAAATAGAATAATAAATGTTCTAAGTGGCCTTACTTGAGAGAGGGACTTAATGATGTGTATACATTATATTAAAAATAATTTATCAATTAAAGTTCATAATTTATTAATTAAATGATCATACTAGGCTTTTAAAGCCTATGTAGTTTGTTTAAATTAATAATGGTCTTATGACCTAATTACCCGGCCCATTTGTTATTTAATTAGAGGCCCATGAGAAAGCCCCATGAAAATTTAATTAATTTGGAATTCCGGTAACTGACTTGAATTTGATCGTCGGATGGCAATCGCCGGTCAACCCTGGCGAGCCACCAAGTGTCCGAACTGCTCTCAGTAGGGAAGCTAGTGTACGGCCAGGGTTTGCCGTGACCCCCCCTCAATTTTTCTTTAAGTACTATATATGTAATGTATATATAATTTAATTGTCTTTGTATCGTGCTCCTATAATTTTGTACAATTTAATTTTATATAAAAAATAAAATTAATTATTTTTAATTGAAGAGAACACAAAAAAAAAAAAAAAAATAGTGTAACAAGTTGAATAAAAAAACATAAGAATTGTGGATTGGAACCATGGGCGAGTCAATTCTCAGTTGAAAAACCAATCACTATTTTAAATTTATATTTATATTTAGTCCACCAAAAATCCAACCTAATTCAAAAAAGTCTTAAAAGTTTTTTTTTCTTTTTTTTTTTCATTTTCTATCTTCTGGTTTTGTAAAAAACAAAAAGATGTCATAATTTTTTTCTTCGTGAGCGCTGCCCTCAAACCACAAAAATATTAACCTGATTATGTAACAAAATCCTCGACTCCCATCACTCTTACAACGATCATTGTTGTCATCAACTTTGTTTTTATTTTTAAAGTATATTCGGGTCTCAACGATAAAATTCTGGCTCTGCCACTGACTGCTTATATAAGAGGATTTGAGGATTGTTGAAAAGCAAGTGGAGAGCTACTCAACAATTCGATTATTGCTCTCATGGTACCAAATACACGTGGCAGCAGAGATCGATTTAAATGTCATTGTTTCGACGAGCCATAAATATATATATATATATATATATATATATATATATATATATATATATATATATATATATATATATATATATATATATATATATATATATATATATATATATATATATATATATATATATATATATATATATATATATCAACACGTAAAATGTACGTTTAGAACATGATGTAAATTAAAAAATAATCACATTACACAGATTTTGTTAATCCATGATTAAAACGTAATGAACCCGAATCCATAGCTACTTGAGCATAAAAGAAATCTTGTGTTGCAATGAGATTTCATCTTACACAAATTAAATCTTATGGCCCCTATACACGGGATTAATTAAAACCGAATAAATCCGACAGGAAATTAATGAAAATTAGAAAATATATGTTCAACAAGAGGTATTTAATTAACTAATTAATTAATTTGCGATATCGAAATCGATCCATAGCTACTTCTGCATGTGCATCCACAAACTGGAGAGCTGATCTTTGTGCAGAGGCTTCACAAGATAGTCAGCTGCTCCGAGGCTCACCCCCTTTATCGTTATCGACACCTGGTCTTGCGTCGTTATTACTTAATCAAAACGAAAAAACACGATCGATCGTATCACAATCTTCGTTTTCTTGTCAGAAGAAAGAAAATAAAGAATATATATATAGTATTTGATTAATAATTACTTACTGATGACAGGGATTTGTTGTAGTTTCTTGTCATGCATGATGTGTTTCAACATACGAGCGTTGTTCGCCATCAAGAGATTGACTTCGGCTAGGATTATATGCGCGTGCGGTCCTTCCGAATTTAGTGTCTGGTATACCTCTCTCGCTGTCCATACTGCAGCTACTAAAAATTCCGAAAAAAATAATCGTATTAATCATTGGAATATAAAATATTATGGTTAAAACTTAATGTTATTTCAAATAAAATCTTCAAATGTTTACTTGTTATTTTCCAAATAATATTATCTACAAATATTATGGTTAAAAGTTATGTTGATTTTAGATAATAGTATGTGATATGACTAGATTACCCTTGCGATTAATGTTTTTGAGAGATTTATAAGGGCAAATTTGGAAAACAAAAATAATTAATGCAACATTTGAAATTTGAAAGTCTAATATAGAAATAAAAGAAAAAAATTCCAAAGCAACATTTAACTTGAAATACCTGCACTGTTATTGTAAAGATCCAGGGTACATGTATGTAGATGAACAAATTCTAAGTAATTAAACATTAAATAATTAATTAGTGCTAATTAAGTACAAAAACAACGATACATTTTTAGTTAGTTCAATGAAATATATGCATGGGGTTTATCGTAATATTTTAACAAGCAATGTGGTTTTTAATTAGACAAAGTACGAGCTTACACGAACAAATGCAGAACAAAAAATGTTGAAGAAAATCGAGCAAAAGTATACTACCTTGGTAAGAATATTTGTTAAGAGCAGCCGATATTTCGTGGCAACTTTCTGCATTGTTATCGTATAGTAGAATCCTAATCTTGCTTCGATCTGCGTGATCACGTTGATGACAAATGACGCCTTTGCCCTTGTCCATTGTTCAATGTTTTAGGCCGACGATATTTATATTTTCTGCACGTAATGCATGCAAAAACCGACGATATTATGTTTTAGGCCGCAATGGAAATGACCTAAATAATCTTAGTGTGACTTTTTCTTTCCAACTACCGCTCAAATGTGTTGCTAAAATAGCTCGTTTTTCGACCTATATTATGCACGTTTATTGTGAGTTCTTCCAACAAAGAGTTTGGCCTGCCAAATTTTAAGGGCAAACCTAACTGTTAGTTATACCTCTTTTTTCCTTTTCCCTTTGTTTCTTTTACTTCTCTGTACTTAACATTAAGATATCATTAGTTTCTAACAATGTTTCAAGGTTGATTGTAATTACCGATACCACGGGGACCTTAAAGTTATATTAGCATACCTCAGGGGTGTAAGTGTAATTTACGCAAGTTCAAAAGAAAAGAAAAGTAGAGCCTTCTTAATAGTTGATTATGTTTAATTTATTACTCCTCATGTTCCATAATATCTGTCTCTTTTAACAATTTTTTTTCTTTCATATTATCTGTCACTTTACAATTCCAATGTTGCATTAATTATATATTTTTCAAGTATACCTTATTAACTCTCCAACACTCTTTCTGCAATAATTAGTAAACAATGGTATTTTGATCTATCTATATCTATTTTCCTAAAATCGAGACATATTAATTAAGATTCTTACGACTCGTACCAAAAAAAAAAAAACGACGCATATTTAGAAACGGAGGAAGTATAAGATTGACAATTAATTAGTACTTATATAAGAGAATATAATGACCATTTCTAGCTCAGTATTATCCTGTTCAATTTGCTAAAATAGCTCATGATTGCCAGCCCTTAGATTTTGGTTTACCAAACCACGTGTGTGACCATTACAAGTGTATGAGCCAATAAATTAGAGCCATTATATTTTTCATGGGTAAATTACATCTACGCCCATGAGGTATGCTAAAATAATTTTAAAGTCCCTGTAGTTTGATAATTACAATCAACCTCTGAAACATTGTTAGAAAGCCTAACGGAATAATGTATTGGATGAGTTATTTCGTTAGGGTTCTAACGAACTATTAGTTTCAGACAGTGGTTGAGACAACATAGAGCTGGGGGTGATATGACTCTCCTAACATTTCTTAAATCCTAATTATTTTATATAAGATTTATAAATTTTCGTCTATGGTAGCATTAACGCCCCCACTGGAAACAAATATAGTGCATGTCCGTCCCCAGGACATGAAATCTTGGTTCCGGTAATTGTTTCAGGGGTGTGTCTATAATTACTAATACTACAGAAATCTTAAAGTTATTTTAGCATACCTCATGGTGTAACTGTAATTCACCCTATTTTTTTAATAAGTTGAGGAAAATACTTTAGTTGTGAACCAATAAATATGGGTTTATTGAATTATTTGCTAGATGTTTGGGCTATTTTCAGCTACTCTCTACATGATAAGTGAAAAAAACGTGGAGCTGGAAGTATTTTACCACGTGTTGATTTAAATTTAGGAAAGTGGGAATTCTTCTTTATGATGTATGTCAATGTGGAGAGTCGCCCACAAGTATTTACTCTATTATGAGGAGGTTGTCACTTATTTAGCACATGGAGAAATTAATATATGGGAAAATATTGTTTTTCTTTTTGGGAAACTTATAGTTTTCACCCCTTCAATTTCCAATGATTACGCATTTGGTCCCCTATGTTCACAAAAAAACACATTTAGTCCCTTATGTTTTAATAACTTGACATTTTTAGTCATTTTCGTCAATTTACTGTTAGTCCGTCAGCTACAGTAGTGAGTTTGATTATGTTAGTTTTAACGGAAATTTGAAGGAAATGACTAAAGATGCTGAATTTTTGAAATATGAGTGACCGAATGTGAAATCGGTGTAAACATGAGGGATGACAACTATACATTTTCCTTTTTTTTAATTGACAAGAGAATTCGACGCAAGTCGTATTGCATTGGCTAAACTTCGCTCTCGTTCAAACTATTAGTGTATATTTTTACACTTTATCATACCTTTTTATTTGAGCTTTTGGTGTGTCTTAACGATAATTGGTGCTTAAAAAGTTAATTTATTGTATTTTAGGTACAAATTGAAGAATTGGAAAAGTATGAGGTCAAAACTGCAATTTTGGAGAAAATATGGGCCAAAAGTGAAAAAATCAAAAATCTGAAGAAATTAGGCTGGGACGGCCGTCCTAGATTTACACTTAAAATTGAGACGGCCGTCTGAGAAGCAGAAATAACCTCTGGTTTTGGGACGGTCGTCCGAGTTTTAGTACAAAATTCGGGACGGCCGTCCGAGATGACGAAAAGGCGCACTAAAGGAATCCTAATTGCACAAGGAAACTACCTTCTTCTCCAAATTTTCCACCCTATATAAGACCAAGACAATCACACAATTGGGAATTTTTCTTTTTACGCAATTTCAAGAGCAACAAAACAATAACGAAGACGAAGAATTCGAAGACTCCAAGCATAGACTTATCGCCACGAATTTGATCCCATACTTATTTTCTTCTCTCTCATTCTCTCACCCACTTTTTTTTATTGTTTTTTTTTTTTTCTTTCTTTCTCATTCTTACAAGATTTTTTTACCATATCTCTCTTCCTGCACTCTCACCTAGGGGTGCAAGTTGGAACGGAAATTCCAACTTCCGCCAGTTCCGATCCCAAAAATTCCGATTTTGGAACAATTTTTTTCATTCCGACTTCCGAAATTCTGATTTCCGAATTTTTCCGATTTGTTTGTATTGGAATTGAATTATATAAAATAAATTTAGAATTTTCAATTTCCGAACCGATTTGATTTCCGAAATTAGTTCCGAAAAATTCCGGGTTTTTTCCGAAAATACACCTATAAATAATAAATATTATATCATATTTTTTTTTTCCGAAAAATACACCTATAATTTTTTTTTGGATTTTGACATAATGAATTGTTGTTAGAAGTTTTATTAAATATTATGTTGTGTTTATTTTTATTTATTTTTTGAAATGAAATTTAGTAGTTATTAGTTTTACTTTTATCGACGTGGATGTTCTTATTTTTGGAAAATTATGAACATTTTAGAAAATTCCAACTTATCTGGATGTTATTAGTTTTGAAATTTTTAAGCTTATGTGATTTCCGACTTTTTTCCGAAATTCCGAAATTTCCGAGCCTTTTGGAATTGGAATAAATTTTTAGATTCCCAAAATTTTGGAATTGGAATAAATTTTTAGATTCCCAAAATTTTGGAATTGGAATTGGAATTGATTTTGTACTTCCGAAACTTTTTGAAAATTTTCCAAAAAAGCTAAATCCGATCCGATCCATCTGATTTTCACCCAACTCTCACCCTAACGCCTATCGTTTCATGCGGATCTAGATCTAGATGTTCCTTTGCGCGAGAGTTTAAATATGAAAGATAATACATGTCTATTTTATTTAGAAATCATGTATATTTATATATAATCGTATAAATATATTCATATAAATATTTCAATCATCCATCAATTCGCAATTGACGGTCAAAAATCATGTAAACAACGAAGGAAGGAAAAAAAAAATTGGAAAATTTTCTATCGAAAAGTGTTTCTAATTTTTTTTACTGAAATTACAAAAATAGCCAACAATTGTCCGACGAGTTCCCCATGCTGTACCCGACACGAAAAAAGTTTCACATGCAATACATTAACAAGTTGAAGTGTCTGTGCAACATAGATCCGGGCTTTGTGTGGAAACTAGAAGTCCTAGTATGCAACGGCTTGAAAATTATATCTTGTGAAGTTCTGATCCGCTGATTGTTTCATCTTTTCTTGAAAACTCTCTAATTGGTACTTTCCGGCAAACGACACTCGAACTTGAAGTTCTTCGTTACCGTTATTCTCTTGTTCCTCCGCTATTTTCATAGCCGAAATGGCCGCAGACTCACTACACCAATGCACTTGGATAAGTCCAAGTGTCGGTATTTCTCCGATATCTAACGGGATTTCCTCCAATTTTTTCAAACTTTCAAGAACAAGTTTCTCCAAGACAGGAAAATGGGAGCTGTCTGCATTCCAGTTAACCAAATCACTCCATTGTATCAAGAGGAATTTAAGGCGAAGGAATTCCCCCTCAACAGGGTTCCACACTGATCCTTTGACCAAACGATTTTTCAATTTCAAAACTTCAAGATTGGGCAACGAGCCAATCACCGTTAAATCTTCCCACCGAATCATGCTACCTTCTAAACACAACTTCTTGAGCGAACTTGGGAAAGTGAGCTTCTGCAATACATTATCCACATCATACGGACAACAAGTAAGTGATTCAAGTTTATGCAAGCGGCATATATTGTAGAGGCGGTACTCAGTACTTGACCTTTGTGGGTCGCTAACATACTTTATGTTCAATTTCCTAACATTGACGAGTCTCTCACAAGCCTCCTCGCTCCACACGAAGTTAAATACCGTCTTAAGTGTTTGTAGATTTTGCAAAACAAACTCACTCTGTTGTTGTCCACGATTACGAGGAGGATTGGGAAGGTGTAGCTCATATATATCCACATGCCTGAGTTGTCGCATCTTCCAAATTTGAGATAGTGCTTCAATGTTTGCTGTAATAATTATTGTTTGCAAATTCCATAGAACGTCTATTGACGAAGAAAGCTTGTCAGCTGGAAAGGATCTCGTCAATTTGTAATAAGCAAGGTACCGCATGTTAACTTGATCAATAATATGCCGGCATAAATATTTTTTCCTGGCTCCTTTGTTGAATGACATTACTCTCAACAATCTATTTTTGGGCAATCGACCATCTATGCTTGTTACCAACGTACGGGTAAGTGGTGCCAATTGCAGAGTATGAAGGGCACGGGATTCATGATGCTTTGCCGTTATAAAATTTTCATTACATACAATGCGACGCCCACTTTCTATTCCTCGTTGGGTGTCCTCCATCACACAGATAAACTCGTCTTTATGAGCTAGCTTTAGACATAAATCTCGCAAGAGATCATGAATCTTGCAAATTTTAATTCTTCCATTCGATCCCAACCAATGATTCAAAACGAGATTCCTGTCAATTAGATCACTCAAGTAACCTCGTGCAGTCTCTTCCCAGCTTTCTGATAGATTCGATTTTATAAATCCTTCAGCCACCCAAAGTTTGATCAGTCGAGAGACGAAAATCTTATGGTCTTCGGGAAAAATACCCATGTAAAGAAAACATGGTTTAAGATGAGCAGGCAAGTAGGTGTAACTCAATGATAATATACTCAAGCAATTCTCATCCTCTCCGGAGTTAAGAATTGAGGTTAAATCTTTTGCTATATTTTTCCAGTATTTTTGCGTTCTATTGGATCTTCCAAGAAGCCCACCAATCACACAAATCGAAAGTGGGAGCCCTTTGCATTTCTTAATAATCTCCTTTCCAATATCCTCTAGCTCAGAAGGGCATCCGACTTGATCAAATGCCTTTTGACAAAATAGTTTCCAACTTTTATCCTCATCTAGAAAACTCAACTCAAAGCACGGAGAGTCGAAGTAAATAGCCACATTCGATATCCTCGTAGTCACAACAATTCGACTTCCATTATTGTTGTCTGGAAAAAAACGACTTACCTCCTCCCAAGCTTCAATACTCCAAATATCATCAATTACAATCAAATATCTCCGAGCCCATAGCATTTTATGTAACTTTTGTCCTAATAACTGCTCATCTATTTGACTATTTTTTTCAGAAAGAAGTTGTAAGAGAAGTTCTATGACATTATACTTTTGAGATACTGTGATCCAAGTACGAATATCGAAATGGTGAACAATAAGTGAATGTTCGTAAGCATTTTTGGCGAGAGTAGTCTTACCAATGCCGCCCATGCCTACGATTGGAATGACTTGCCGGTTAGATTGTTGGCCGGTGAGCTTGTCCAAAAGTTGAAGCAACTGTTCCTCAAAACCGACCATAGTATTCTTGCCGGTGGTAATAAGAGGTGTACTTGATGAAGTAGTAGTACATGTGGGCTGCATATCATGTTCGTTGGATCCAATTTCATCTTTCAACTCCAAAACTTTTTTCTTGATAGAATCCATTTCTTCTATTACACTATGGAGGTCCAACAGGGAAGCCCATGTCTTCTTTAGGCGCATTGAATGGATGATCTTAGCAACCTTTGTCCTGATACCAGGTTTAATTTGGTCGACCACATGAGATTCGATTACGTCTTCAGCCGCGTACGCTGCACATGCAATCCGGCTCTCTAAAACTCCATCAGTATGTTTCTCTATGAATTCTAACAAGAAACCGATTTTTTCGCCGAGAGATTCGAGCTGGTTCTTGTCGACAGAAGTGGAAAAGCGAGGGTGATTCTTGATCTGATCCATTGTAGTCAAAAGAGAAACTAGAGATGCGTAAGCTGCCATAGCTTAAAAATCTTGTTTAGAGTTTCGAAAAAACTGTGGTTTGCCGCAAGTAGAACATATAAAGTTAGTAGAAGAAGATATGTGGCGGACATTGGAGTTTAGGGTATGAGATAGTTATCCGAGGGTCCCCTACTGAAGAAAATTACAACGCTGTGTTAAAAAAAATAATCTCCATGTTATTTTGCAATGAAACTTTATTTTTGTCCTCTACAATATCTATCCCCTTTATACTTTGAAATATACATTTAGCCCCAAACCTACCAGTCAACTTATTTGACTACTAACCGTTTAGTACTACATTTAAAGGCGCTCGACTCCTTCGACCCTACACCCGGTGTTTGGGTGTAGGATCAAAGAAGTCAGGGCGTTTCCTCTTGAAATTTCTCCTTCACAACTTATTTCAACTTATTTGACTACTAACCGTCTAACCGTGTTAGGACAAAATGCACTTCACTCCATACAAATTTCTAATTTTCGCACTTTCCCTCCTAAAAATTTAAAAACTGGATAATCCCCCTTCAAAATATTATTTTCGTTGCACTTTGCACCATAAGCCATTTTTTAGCGGGCATTGTGCAAAAAAAATAACATTTTAAAGGGGCCTTGTGCAAAAAATATAATGTTTTTAAGGGGTAATGTGCAACAAAAATAACATATAAAGGGGCCTTGTGCAAAAAATATAATGTTTTTAAGGGGTAATGTGCAACAAAAATAACATATAAAGGGGCTATGTGCAACAAAAATACTCAATGACGATGAATAATCCATCAAAATTTTGATATGGGGGCAATGTGCAACAAGAATAACATTTTGAAGGGGACATTCACTTTTTAAAATTTTGAGGGTGTAAAGTGCTAAAATTAGAAATTTTAAGGGGGTGATGTGTAATTTGCCCTGTTTTTAAAGGACAAAATGAATGCATTCCCCCTTGAAATTCCTGGTTTGCGCACTTCCACCCTACAAATTAAAAAATTAAACTTTCCCCCTTCCAAATTTTGTTATAGTTGCACTTCCCCCTACAAATTAAAAAATGAGACTCTCCCTCTTCCAAATTTTGTTGTAGTTGCACTTTGCCCCAAAATTTGAATTCTAGTGCATTTTTTAACGGATTTCAAATTTGTCCGTCCATTTAAGGGGTAGGACAAAAGCACTTTACCCCCTACAAATTTCAGTTTTTCGCACTTTCCCCGCTAAAATTTAAAAAAAAATGGATATTCCCCCCTCAAAATATTATATTGATTGTACTTTGCCCCATAAGCCTTTTTTGGAGGGCATTGTGCAACAAAAATAACATTTCAAAGGGGCAATAATGTGCAAAAAAAGTAATGTTTTTAAGGGGCAACGTGCAGTAAAAATAACATTTAAAGGGGCAACGTGCAACAAAAATCTTCAATTCCGATGAATAATCCATCGGAATTTTGTTATCGGGGCAATGAACTACAAGAATAATATTTTGAAGGGGGGCATTCACTTTTAAAAAAATTGAGGGGGTAAAGTGCAAAAATTGCAAAATTTATAGAGGGTGATGTGCAATTTTTCCTAAGGTATATATGCGTCATTTTAAGGTATATATGTTTTTTTCTTTTTGCTATTTCACTCTATTTTAATTATTATCCATCTGATTATAGGGACCAAATTACAATTTCAAAATTTATTTAAAAACTCTAATCACCTTCTTTTAGGGATGACAACGGGTCGGTTCTGGGCCGGGTTTGCCTAAACCCGAGACCCGACCCATGAAAAATATTTAAGACCCAGACCTCCCCAACCCGGTTCAGCTTAGACCCAGACCGCCCCCAACCCATACCCGAATTAAACGATTCTGACCGTCAGACCCGCTAGACCCGTTAACATAAATTTTTTTTTTTTTTTTTTTAATTTTCATAATATTTTGCTTCTATATTTTAACAAAATAATGTAAAACTTAATATACCATATTTTAAAATACTTCTACAAATGATATAAAGTGAATAATAAAATTATATAATTAATTATATTTAACTTCTACGATAAGTACAGTTCAAAAGGCAAGACGGCTAGCGTTGGTCGACAAATGATAGATTTTACTTGCGAGAAATGAGATTCGAAAAAATGAAATGGTGAAAAATGAATAAATGAGAATAGACTCGATGCAAATTGAAAGTTTGATAAATGAAATCATAAATTAATTTGTATATATAGATTAATTATAAAATATAATATATTTATACGGGTCGGTTCTGGGTCGGTTCAAATAAGACCCAGAATCCGATCCGGAACCATCCAGTTCTAGAAACTTAAACCCATTACCCGACCCAAAACCATTTAACTTACCCAGACCCGCCCCAAATGGGTCGGTTCCCCGGCAAACCCGTACCCATTGTCATCCCTACCTTCCTTCTTCCAATCACGGCACCTCCACCTCCTCCACTACTACCATTCTTCATTATCTTAAAAAACCATCTTCAGGGCATCAAGCAAAAGACCCACCACCTAATGTTTGCTCTCACCTTTTTGAAGTTTCCTCACAACACAAGTTTCTTTCGCCACCATTATAACCCTCATTCTGGTGTTGCTCAATTTTCGAATTCCCATTAATAGTTATTACAGCTCGATCAGGGCCGGTTCTGAGGGGAGGCGAAGTAGGCGGTCGCCTAGGGCCCCCGATTTTTTACGAAAATTTGGGGCCCCCAAATTATTTTATTTACACTTTATATATTATTACTTATTTTTAAAAAAATATTATATATAATATTTTGGAATATCGGTTCTAAAATAAATTTAAGCTAAATGATCAATAGATATTTTTGCAATTTTCTTAACTTTGGGACCCCTAAATATTAAATTTATAATGTCTTAATTACTTGTTTTTATTTTAAAATAAGAATCAATATTCATTAGTGTATTCAAGTTTATAAATATTTATGAAGTCTATTTGCTATAAAGATTATAAAGATTATACGTCACGGGAGGAAGTGAACCAACAAATTATATTGTTAATTTTGAATTTTTTTCCACATTTTTAGCTACTTTATATTCATACATATCAAAAAATATTTCGGGGGCACCGCCCCCGAAACCCCATAAACTTTTATTTCATCATTTTTAGAAAATATTATTTATATTTTTTTAATACATTCAATTTCGAACACCCATTAATAAAAAAAATATATTATTTATCAAATAGGGGCCCCTGTTTTCAGTTGTTCTGTAAAACCTCGCTTAGGGCCCCCGAATTTTCAGGAACGGGCCTGAGCTCGATTGACGTCGCCCCCGCCTTCGCCAGTTATCCCTCACCAAAATTGACATCCTCTGCGGCGATGAAGACGACGATCAGTCACATTTCGTCGACGCATTCCAATTTATTGGACCACTTAAAATCCTATGGAAGAATGGACGACAGATTGTTTGAATTTAGTACTGTTGGTTAGCTGTAGTGGTTGGTTATCTGGATTTGGGATGGGTTCTTCGTGGTGGTGTTGCAGTTGCGGTGTGGTGGTGGGTGGTTGCAGGCGACGAAGTGCAGCGGAAGATGGATGCAGAGTTGTTTGGCGGTGGGGTTGGTGGGGATGGATGGGTCAGAGGAAGAAGATGACTTATACTGAATTTATGTTTTTTTTGTATTTCGTTTCTTTAAATCGAATGGACTAAATGCACTAAGCCCAAGTGAACAGACAAAAACGTCCTTCAAGTGAACAGAGAAATAAAAATACTGGTGAAAAAAATGACGGAAAATGTTAAATAGGGCAAAGTGCAACTAGCATAAAATTTTGAAGGGGTAGTCTCATTTTTCAATTTGTAAGAGGGAAAATGCGAGATTTCTAAATTTTTTAAGGGGGCGAAGTTCATTTTTTCATTTTTTTAAATTAATTACCAAAATCTAAGAATAAATAAATAATACGAAACTCGCCTACAGAGTCTTCTTATACCCATGAGCAATGTTTTGAAAACCGGACCGAACCGGCCGGTCGAACCGGTTTAACCGGGAACCGGCGAGGGGTCCGGTCTGGTTCAACACATAAACCCGTAAGATGCAAAAACCCGGTTGAACAGCAAAAACCCGGTGAAATCCACGGTTGAACCGGGAAAACCCAGAACCGGCCAAAACCGGGTTTTTGTAAATAAAAGGCAGGAGAGGCTGATTTTTACGGTGTGGTCAGGGAGAAGAACAGAAAACTAGAAAAATGTGGGCAAAAGTTTTCCGATCTACTGAATCTGAGGATTGAGAGAAAATTTTGTATGCCAATCAATTAAAAGAAGAAAATATAAGAAGAATAAACAAAAGAAATGACTAATGAGAGTAAGGGGGCTTGAGTAGGACTTTGGTAGTACTGGTTGCAAGTAAGAACAAAGAATTGTTGGCGGCTGTATGTGGGTAGAGTTGGGATGGGAAGTATGAGAGAGAGGAGAGAGAGAGATAGAGAGAGAAGTAGGGTTAAGTGGTGGAGGAAAATGAAACATAAAATAATGAAAAGGTGTTAGTGAAAATAAAATTAAAATAATATATATATTACTTTTGTAAATTTTTAAATTATGACTGCGTATATATGATATTAGGTACATTGATTTAAATTTTATTTTTAAAATTTATTTGTTAAACTTTTAGGTTGATTATCAATGGATTGTATTTTCAATTGATATTTTATAATATAATTATATTTTAAACTATATGAAAATAATAAATAAAATAAAAAATACAAAAACCCGGTTGGACCACGGTTGAACCGGTTCAACCGTGACCCGGTAGCTTGGCCGGGTTGATGTCCGGTCCGGTTTTCAAAACATTGCCCATGAGGCAATTTTTTTTGTATGCCATTGGCCTAATAAAATATGAGACGTGTTATTTTCACCATCAAAATATCTTATTTCACCATTACATTAAATATATTTTCTATTTTATTCCATTCTTCTTCTTCAATCTATATTCTGTACAAATTCATAACCTTCCACCACTAAACTAATTAAAATATTTATAAAAAAGCTCCACCATTTTTCAACGGAATCTTTACCACAAAATCCCACCTTCTCCACCTTAAGTGAACAACATCTTCGTCAGAGAAAAATACCAAAGGTCAAAAAGAGCAGGCATTCACCTCCAAAATTTGCCAATTTGGCTTACTATAATTTTGTTGCCCCTAAAAAAACGTTACATAATCTGCAGGCCATCTGATATGAAACTTTAAATATCTTGTAATAAAATTTCATTGCAAAAAAAAAAAAAAAATAGAAATAACTTACAACACATGCGGATTAAGCGAATATAAAGAAGGGTGGGGGATTAGAATTCGATGGGTATTTATGATATTTTATAGGACAAAGTGCATCCCCCCACCCCCCAGAAATATTCAATTTTTGCATTTCGCCCCCTACAAATTAATAAAAGAGACTCCAAATCACAACCTCCGGCGTTTTTTTCATTGGAATTCCATTTACGCGTCCACTTCAAGGGCATTTGAGCCATATCATTATTTCCATCTAAATCCTAATATCCTCATCTCTTCTAATAGACGGAAAATACAACCCATTTACTAATTTCAGGAAAAAGAAATTAGGGTTTCTTTTTTTTTTTTTTCAAAACAAATTGTGCCTATAGAGATCTCAAAATTGCAAGAATTTTCAATATCCTCCTCAACTAACAACTGTTACGGTGATCCGTCCCTCAAATGACACAAATGCCCTTCTCTTCTCTTGGACAGATTCACGGCAATTTAGATGAAAAGTACTCCAAAAATTATAATTTGGGGCTAAGTGCAACTGCAACAAAATTTTGAAGGGGGAATCTATATATTTTTGGAATTTGTATTAGGCGTAAGTGCAAAATTTGAATTTTTCTAGGAGGCGAAGTGCATTTTGTCCTATTTTATATACATTGTTTTATTTTTTTCAATAACTTAATTAATTTTGTTTAATTAATTTATTTTCTTTACATTTTTTATTTTGTTTAAATTTTCCTATAAAAAAAATTATTAAAACTTTTATTGTTTTTTAATTTTCAAATAAAAAAAAATAAATAGAAAAGATTTGCAAACATTAATTAATTAAACCTTTTACAAGTTTTCGTTTTTGAAAAAAAAAAATTAAATAAGCAAAATGAAACTAGTAAAGAAAAGGTTTGTTTAATTAAGTAGAATTTTTACTATTTTAAGCTACTAAAAACAATAAATTAAATAAGAAAATGAAATCGATAATTTACAAGAAAAAAAATAAGGAAAAGGAATGGTCCATGACACGTGAGTCAAACCTTTTCTTCCTGCTCAGTTTTGAATAAGAAACAAAAAGAAAAAATCAAATATAGAACAAGAAAATGGAGTATATGTTGTAGGTCCAGACTGCTGCTTGGAAAGTAGAAGTCCTAGAATCTCCCGACATGAAAATTATTTCTAGTGAAGCTGATGTCATCATCTTCTGATTGTTTCATCTTTTCCCGAAAACTCTCCAATTTTTCCTTTTCATCGATCACAACTCGAACTTGAAGTCCCTCATTGCAAGCGTTCTCTTGTTCCTCCGCTATTTTCATAGCCGAAATGGCCGCAGACTCACTGCACCAACACACATGGATAAGTCCAAGTGTTGGTATTTCTCCGATATCTAACGGGATCTCATCCAATATATCCATTCGTTTAAGAAAAAGTTTCTCCAAAACCGGAAAATGGGAGCTGTCTGCATTCCAGTTAACCAGGTCGCAAAATTGTATTAAGAGGAATTTCAGGCGAAGGAATTCCCCCTCAACAGGATTCCACACTGCGGGTTCTCTAGCCGAAAGATGATCGATTTTCAAAACTTCAAGATTGGGTAACTAACCAATGACTGTTAAGTCTTTCCAATCAGCCTTGCTACGTACTAAATACAACTTCTTGAGCGAACTTGGGAATGTGAGCTTCTGCAAAACATTATCCAGACCATATGACGAGCACTTAAGTGATTCAAGTTTATGCAAGTACTTGCAAATATTGTGGAGTGAATAGTCATTTGACCTTTTCGAGTGTCTGCCATACACTATGTTCAATTTTCTCAAATTGACGACTCTCTTACAAGCCTCCTCGCTCCACACGAAGTTTCTTACCGACTTAAGTGTCTGTAGATTTTGCAAAACAATTTCATCATGATTTTGGTCACCATTCTGAGGAGGATCTGGAGGGTTTAGCCCCCATATATCCACATGCCTAAGTTGTCGCATCTCCCATATTTCAGATGGTGCTTTAATTTCCCGTTTGATAATTATTGTTTGCAAATTCCAGAGGACGTCTATTGACGAAGGAAGCTTGACAAGAAAAAAAGATCTAAAATAAGTGAGTTCATTATAAGCAAGATACCGCGTGTTAACTTGATCAACACTATGCCAGCGCAAAAAATTCCTCTTGCCTATATTGTTGAACAACATTACTCTCAGCAATCTATTATTGGACAACCGACCATGTATGCTTGTTACCAAAGTACGGGTAAGTGATGCCAACTGCAAAGTATGAAGGGCTTCCTTTCTATTACATACAATACGACGCTCCCTTTCTATACCTTGTGGAATATCTTCCATCATACACATAAACTCGTCTTTCTGAGCTGCCTTTAGACTCAAGTCTCTCAAAAGGTCATGGATCTTGCAAAATTTAATTCTTCCATTCGATCCCAACTTATGTTTTAAAATGAGATTCCTATCAACGAGATCATTTAAGTAACCTCGTGCAATATCTTCCAAGCTTTGGGCTTTATTCGGCTTTATAAATCCTTCAGCCACCCAAAGTTTGATCAATTGAGAGACAAGAATCTCATGGTCTTCTGGAAAAATTCCAACATAGAGAAAACATGGTTTTAGATGAGGGGGCAAGTAGGTGTAACTCAAAGATAATATACTTGAGCAATTCTCGTCCTTTTCGAGGTTCAAATTGGAGATTAAATCTTTTGAAATAATTTTCCAATATTCTTGTGTCTTATGGGACCTTCCAAGAAGCCCACCAATCACAGAAATTGAAAGGGGAAGCCCTTTGCATTTTTGAACAATCTCCTTTCCAATATCTTCTAGTTCAAGGGGGCAACCTACCTCACCAAATGTTTTTTTGCAAAATAGGTCCCAACTTTGATCCTCGTCTAGAAAACTCAACTCAAACAACAAAGAGTCGAAGTGAGTAGCCACATTCGATATCCTCGTAGTCACAACAATTCGGCTTCCATTATTGTTGTCTGGAAAGAAACGACATACCTCCTCCCAAGCTTCAATACTCCAAATATCATCAGTTACAATCAAATATCTCCGACCCCATAGCATTTTGTGTAACTTTTGTCCTAATAACTGCTCATCCATTTGACTATTGTTTTCAGAAAGAAGTTGTAAGAGAAGTTGTTTGACATTATACTTTTGAGATACTGTGACCCAAGTACGAATATCAAAATGGTGGACAATAAGTGAATGTTCATAAGCATTTTGGGCAAGTGTAGTCTTACCAATGCCGCCCATGCCTACGATGGGAATGATTTGCCGGTTAGATTGTTGCCCCGTGAGCTTGTCCAAAAGTTGAAGCAACTGCTCGTCAAATCCGACCATAGTATTCTTGTCGGTGGTAATAAGAGGCGTTGATGGACTAGCAAGCATCGAATACGCGGGCTGCATATTATGATCATCTTTGAACTCCATAACCTTTTTCTTGATAGAATCCATTTCTTCAATCACCGTTTGAAGATCGATCAAGGAAGTCGAACCACCGGGAATTTGGTCTTCGACTACATCAGATTTAGTAGTTACAGCTTTCTTGAGGTAACGGAGTAGTCATGCCGAATACCTTTTGGCATATTTCATTGCGTGAATTTGGTTGACGATGTGATATTCGATTGCATCTTCAGCAGCATAGGCTGCAGCTGCAATTTGGCTCTCCAAAATGTCGAATTGTTTGCTTGTAATAGTAACGCCATGGGAATAATCGGCCTCTATGAATTCTAGCAAGAAACGAATCTTCTGGCCGAAAGATTCCATCTGGATCTTGTCGAAAGAAATCGAAAAGAGAGGATGATTCTGGATCTGATCCATGGTAGTTGTAACTGAAACAAGAGCTGCATAAGCCGCCATTAATGAAACTTTACTTAAATACTACTGGATTTTGTTTCTATGCTATGGGTGGAGGAGTAGAAGAAGACGAGTGAATATTCAGGAATTGGAAAATAATTATGAGATAGGATTAGAGGGTCCCCTACAAACGAACACAAGTGAGAGCAGCTACACATGAAAAGACACAAATGACCCTTGCTAATAAACATAATAAAACAAAAAAAATATTTAAAAAAAAAAGAAAGAAAAAAGAAAATGCTCTCCCTCTTTATTTTCATAGAATTTCTTTTGCTTTCTACTTCTTACAAACTGACTTCAAAATCCAATATTTCGTGCTACAAAGCACGAAATATTGGACTCCATTTCGAGCTTCACAGCACGAAACACTTGTTTTTTTCCGATTTATTTTTAGATTCGACCTAAGCTAAGTCTAAGTGATGCAATTTGTTAACTAAGCAATAATAAAACGTTGCATTTACATAATGGAGTTTGAGTTTTACCTCGTTTAATTCGCGGGAGTTCGAAAAGGGTTTAAGAGTTTTATAGAACATGTGTTTTTTTTTTAATAAAAGTTACAAATAAAATACAGTCGCCTTGCAAGCCAGTAAAACTTGCACTATAAATAGCATTTCGAGTTTTCATTTGACATAAACCTCACTTATCAAATTCCCAGAATATCCTCTCAAGTTTCATTTGTCATAAGTCCACATCAGTGTTTTTTTTCATCTTTTTTACTTTTTAAGTTCTTTATTATTATTGTCTATACGTAGTTTTGTTTTTAAATTTAAAAAAAAAAAAAACATTTTTTTTTTCTTTTTTCTGATGGTGGATTGTTGGAGGTTTGGTCAGCTGATATTCCACTTACTATTAGTTGATTTAATTTCCCACTTCCAATCAACTTACTTCCAATGTCTATTTTTTTTTTCTCCGACGGCGGATCGTCAGAGCTCCGGTCAATTGAGTTTCTATTTCCAATTAGCTAACTTCCGTCAAGTCAAATAAACCAAGTTAGCGTAATCATGTTAACTAAATGAAGTTCAGCTTAATCAAATCAACTAACTAGAGCTCCAACGACTCGTCGCCTATAAAAATAATCAACAACAAAACCAAAATCAGCTAATTCTAAAGTCAACTATTTAGAGCACAATAAGGGATTGTTCACAAACTTTTTGACGAGAGTAGTCTTATCAATGCCGCCCATGCCAACAATTGGAATTATTTGCCGGTTATATGGTTATCCGGTGAGCTTGTCCAAAAGTTGAGTCAACTATTTGTCAAATCGGACCATAATATTCTTCTCGGTCATTGATGAAGTAGATTCAGGCATAGAGTATGTGGGTTGTATATGATCATCTTTGTCATCAATTTTCTCTTTGATCTCCGAAACCTTTTTTCTTGATAGATTTTATGTCTTCTATTACATCGAGGACGTCCGACAGGGAATTACATCGTCTTCTTTAAGCGCATTAAATGAATGATCTTGGCAATCTTTTGTCCTGATACGTCCTTTAATGGAACCAGGTTTAATTTGGTCGACCACATCAAATACGTCTTCAGCCGCATAGGCTACAGATGTAATTCGGCTCTCGAAACTCCATGAGTATGATTCTCTATGCATTCTATTATGATTGATCACAATCATGTGTTGTAGAATAGATGGAGCCTACATGCAGCTGATCATCCCTTGAAAATTGCAAACAAACGATCGAAAATTGCTTCAAGGTTTGGTGGATACGGCGGTCTCCATTGTTTGATAAAGAATATTTGGTAAAGAAGATTCGGGTTTAGGTAATAGGTGGGAATGGGGTAGAAATTACTGTAATTGTTTGAGAGAAAATTGTGAGGTTATTAATATAGATATTTTTTTTTCCATTATTATTAGGGGTATTGTTGACAAAACAAAATTAATATATATACTGAAAATTGAAATTTATAGATTGAATTTATACCACTAGATTTAATTTCGTCACATTGGGTACACTCTTACAAACCTCCTCACTCCATTTGAAGTTAATTACATTTTTAAGTGTCTGCAGATTTGGCAAAAGAATGTCCTTCTTTTGTTGCTTACGACTCTGAGGAGGATGGGGAAGGTATAGCTTAAGGATATTTAGATGCCTAAGTTGTCGCATCTCCCAAATTTCAGATGGTGCATCAACTATGTTATTAAGAATTAGTGTTTGCAAATTCCAGAGTAGGGATGTTGATGAATAAGGAATTGATTGAAAAAACATGTGGTCGGAATGAATTATAAACCGGGGAATTCTTTCATCAAGTATAAAATGACGTTCAGATAGGATTCCTACACGTATGCCTTTTGGAACGTCTTTCATCATACATATAAACTTCTCACTGTGACCTACCCTTATACACAAGTCCCTCAAAAGATCATGGATCTTACAATAAGCAACTCTTCCATTTGCCTCAGAACTATATCTCAAAATGAGATTCATGTCAATGAGGTCATTGAAGTGACCTATTGCAATGTCTTCCAAGCTTTGGGCTTTATTCGGCTTTATAAATCCTTCAGCCACCCAAAGTTTGATCAATGTGGATACATGAATCTTATCGTCTTCCGGGAAAAATCCCATGAAAAGAAAACATGGTTTAAGATGAGGAGGTAAGTAGGTGTAACTCAAAGATAATATACTTGAGCAATTCTCGTCCTGTTCGCGGTTCAAATTGGAGATTAAATCTTTTGAAATAATTTTCCAATATTCTTGCGTCTTATGGGACCTTCCAAGAAGGCCACCAATCACAGAAATCGAAAGGGGAAGTCCTTTGCATTTCTTAACAATCTCCTTCCCGGTATCCTCTAGCTCAGAAGGGCAACCGGATTGATCACCAAATGCCTTTTCACAAAATAGTTTCCAACTTTTACCATCATCTAGAAAATTCACACGAAGGCACGAAGAGCCAAAGTCGTTAGCCACATCCAATATCCTTGTAGTGACAACAATTCGACTTCCATTTTTGTCGTTTGGAAAGAAACGTTTTAGCTTCTCCCAAGCCTCGACACTCCAAATATCATCTATTACAATCAAATACTTCCGACCGCATAGCCTTGTGTATAACACATCGCCTAATTGCTCGTCAGTTTTACTATCCATCTCACTACTTTGCTCAGAAAGAAGTTGTAGAAGAAGCCCTCTGGCATCATATTTTTGAGATACAGTAACCCAACGACGAATATAAAAAGGTCGCATAATAAGTGAATTTTCATAAGCATATTTGGCAAGAGTAGTCTTACCAATGCCGCCCATGCCTACGATTGGAATGATTTGCAAATTAGATTGTAGCCCGGTGAGCCTCTCCAGAAGTTCATGCAACTCGACCTCAAATCCCACCATCGTGCTCTTTCCGGTAATACTCGTAAAAGGTGTTGATGAAGAAGTTGTAGTAGTAACAGGCATCGAGTATGCGGGCTGCAAATCATCTTTGAACTCCATAACCTTTTTCTTGATGGAATACATGTCGTCTATTACCGTATGGAGATCGAGCAAGGAAATCGAGCCATCGTTAATTTGGTGCAATGGATCAGATTCAGTGGTTACAGCTTCCTTGAGGCAACATAGTAGTGGCATCGAATTCGTGGGCTTGATTATAGTAACCTTTCTTTTGGCATCTTCCATCGCGTGAGTTTGGTCGAAAACGTGAGATTTGATTACATCTTCAGCCGAATAGGCTGAAGATGCAATTTGGCTCAGCAGCACTTGAGCTTCGTTGTTTATAGCTCCACGAGTATTAGTCTCTATGAATTTTAAAAAGAAACCGATCTTCTCGCGTAGAGATTCAATCTGGTTCTCGTCGACAGAAATCGAAAGGCGGGGATGGTTCTCGATCTGCTCCATAAGATTCATCAGAGAAACTGAAGCTGCATAAGCTGCCATATATAGATAGATAGATAGATCTCTAATCTTCTTTCAACTATGGAAAATTTTGTGGGGAACAAAACTGTATAAGTATTTGTTGTGCTAACATGCCAAGAAGACTTCCGCTGAGTCTTCCCACAAATTGCTTTAATTTTACAATTTTATATTATTATTTAAAACAAGTAACAACTACTTTTTTTTTTTAAATGATTTAATAGAAGTAGTTGACTCAACTTGAAAGCTACTCTGTCATAATTTATGGGTTTTTACATTTTCGTCATCAACTGGGCAGCTCCTCCCGACTTGCCAAAGAAGACTTCAAGTTGAGCCGATAGATAAGAATAGGGAAAATTAGCAAGACCCTCCTATTTGGAAAATAGGGCAAATTATGGCCACACCCCTAAAGTACGACAAAATTACGAAAAAATCTCTATTGTTTGGATAATTACAGCCATGGGCCTTCTTTTAAATATTTTTACATAAAATTTATGTAATTCGTTTATTTACCAAACTAAATCGTATATTCGGTTTAGTAAACGGTATGAAATATTGGCGTACTGAAATTTCGGTTCGATTTTACCAATTTAACATCTTTAAATTTACCTCTGGAGGAATTTTTTCGTAAGATAATACATAGTTAAGGGGTGGCTGTAATTACCCAAACAATAGGGGAGTTTCGTAATTTGACGATTGACTCATGAGGGTGGCCGTAATTTGCCCTTGGAAAATACATGTAAGGAAAATCATCTTTAAAAAATAGGGCAAATGGCAAATAGGCCCATGACAAGACCACTTAATTAAAAAAAGGACATCCAATTTTTTTGTCTTCCAAAATAAATCAACCGCATTCAAACTAATTTGCAAATAAGGAAACCATTTTATATATACCAAAATTACCTTCAACTCTTTGAAACCATAATTCAACTCCAATTTCATGATTTACACCCTAATTTTGCCAAATTTTACCATTTAACCAATTTTGACCCTTATTCCAATTTTGACCGCCACAGCCGGAGACTGCCGATCTCCGGCGTTGATATTTTTTTTAAACTTTTTTTGTCTGAATTTTTTTTCCGGCAAGCCAATCCTCTAGTCTCCAGCGTTTGACTTTTTTTTTTTTTTTGAAAACTTGTTTTTTTTTTAATAGTTTAATTAATATTATTGTATTGGCCTGCTATATTACTGTCGAAGACAGTAATTTAACTATTGGAGACAATAATATTACTGTATGAGACAGTAATTTTACTGTATGAGACAGTAATTTTACTGTATTAATTAATTTAATCGTATTGGCTTGCAATTTTGCAATTTTTCCACAACTTCACCTGTACTCAATTAATTATGCCACTTTGCCATTATTTTTTGCCTGTTTTCAGGTCAAAATGACCGGTTTCCAACCCATGTGCTTCGCACATGACAAATCTAAGGCTATTGACGTCTTTTCCATTTTTAAAATGGAATAAATGTTAATTTTTTACTTATTTATTTTATTTTATTTTTCTTTTTTGAAATCGAATTTTCTTAAATAGAATAATTAAAAAAAGAATAAGAAAAACGTCATCTTGTTCCCAGCAACTCAGCCCTGTATTTTGAACCCATGGCCCGAAAACTCCGAACAAACCACCGACATTCTCTGCAATTCCAAGGATGACCACTGCCGTCACACCAAGGATATAAATAGACTTGTTTAGTGTTTGTAGAAGTGTGCAGAAAATTAGAGAGAATTGAGAGACACTTGTGAGGAACTCTTGAGAGAAACACTTTGTAATCCTCTTGTAGTATTTGAGTGAAATACTTGGCTGCCACCCGTGGAGTAGGAGTTTATTTCTCTGAACCACGTAAATTTCGTGTCTCGTTTGTTTTCGTATTTGTGAGAGAGTTCTCGTTTATGTTTTCGCTTCCGCTTTGCGCAACAAAAAGTAAATACGACTCAGAATTAAATGGCATACGGTAACACATATGGAAGGCAATAAATAAACAACATTTGAACAATTGTAATGAAACATAATAAACAGAAATGAAAGTCGTGATGAAACACTTATGCAAGCAAGCTTTATTACACATCCTCTGTAATCTTCCTTTGCAGCTTTATTAGATACCTCTGCACCAGATCGTGATTCGTAAATCAATCACAAGCTTTTGAAGAGAGAATGCAAAATGTGCAACGGGAAATTTAACATGGAACCACAAATCGAAACGAATAGTTAATTTTGAGGTATTATTACTCACCTGATCATGTCCAGGTACAACGTTTACGGGCGATCGATCAGTACTCATCATGAGGTGGAAAAACGGAGAGCTTGAATATACTGACCTGCATAGTTTGTTCTTGCTGCTTCTTCTTTATATTGCGGATTTCTTTTGCAGAGGCAGCTGCAAAGTTCGAACAGTTCAATTCCAAAAATTGGAGGCTCTGTATATCGGCAAGTCCGATCGGAACTTGTATGAGTTCTTCGCAGTTGTAGAGCTCAAGGCGTCTGAGTTTCGGGAAGTGATGGCCTGAAGCTTTCCAAACAACTAAATTCGTCGGTCCAATATGCAAGACCTCGAGATGGCGAAAGCCTCCATCGGCTGTTTTCCATGTCTTCCCCATGAATGCATTATCTTTTAGCTTAAGAACAATTAGTTTCTCCAGTAATCCTAGAATAGACATATGACTCCAGTCGAGAGAAGTATCGGATAATGTTAGGCTCTTCAGTTTCGGTGGGAACTCGTACGGCTGAGGAAGGTACCGTAGCTGACCTTCCGAAGCTGGACGGGAAAATACATCATTTAGTAGCTTCAGATTTTCAAGATGGTCCAATTTTCTTAAGCTGCCAAATGACCCGATCTTTCCGTCAATCAGCGAGGCTAGCGGCCCACGAATGCCTAATTTCTTTAAATTACAGGCCGTGTCAAAAACTTGTTCGGAGCAACTTTCTGGTGAGATTGTATCAAGTGTTTGAAGCTTTTGACCTCCTTTGTCACTGTTGTTATCTCTCTTGGGCAAAGATGCAGATGCATTCGTCTTTAGATGCCTTAAATGAAGCATGTTCCAAATATCTGCTTTGATTGCGATTTTACGAGATGGCGTATCGACTATAAGAGTTTGTAGGTTCCAAAGCTTGGAGAAGTGTGCAGGAACAACCGATAAATTGAAGGACAGGACGATGTACCTCAAATGAAGCAATTGGTACATGTCACTGGGAATACTTTTGCCGAATATGATGGGCTTGACATCTAAAACTCTAAGCAATTTGAAAGAAGTCGGAATGTTTGAAATGCAATCTGCCGGTAAAATGACGTCTTCCTTGGAGAAACAAACAAAAGACCGGACACGGTGACCATAAGGTTTTGAAGAAATAAAGCTCAAGACATTGGAATGGATACAAAGACGACGATACTTTTCTATCTGAGAAATGGGAGGAGCAAAACCTTCATTTGTTTTCTTTATTTCTTGGAGAAAATTTTCCTTTTCGTTTCTAGCTTCATTTATGCAGAAATCACGAAGCATGTCATGTATGCGGCATGTTTTGATTTTACCATCGGATTTAACCTTGTCGACTCTAACTAAGTTTCTGCTGATAAGATCTTCCAAATAGCCCTCCGCTGTTTCCTCCAAGCTTACTCCAATGTTTTGTTGAATGAACCCTTCAGCAATCCACATGCGGATCAATTTCCAAGCCGGGATTTGAAAGTCTTCCGGGAACATTCCCAGATAGAGATAGCACGCTCTCAAATGATAAGGCAATTTATCATAACTCAGTGCTATAATTTTCTCCATGCGTCTCTCCGGATCCTTCTCAATAACATATCTATTCATGCTTTCAGACACTTTCTTCCATGTTGTCTCGTTTGATGCCGAAAACTTTTTGACGAGAATCCCTCCTATGACAACTATTGCAAGTGGCAGACCGTTGCAATCCTTGGCGATTAGTTTTCCATGATCTTCCAGTTCAGGAGGGCACGCAGGTTTACCGAAAACCTCCAGTCGGAGGAGCAACCAACTCTCAGCATGAGTCAAGAAACGCAACTTGTGGGGAAGTCTATTGATCATGTTAGCGCGTTTAGCCACTTCCTCATGACGACTGGTGATCAAGACTTTACCCATGCTATTGGTATGTGGTAGAGCAATTTTGAGTTTATCCCAATCCTCAACTGCCCACACGTCATCCATTACGATCAAGAATCTTCCTTCGTCTAGTTTAGCAGCAACTAGCATGGCTAACTCGTGATCGCTCTTCGTTTTCGTTTCCTCGGTAACCTTGGTAAACTCTTTTAGAATGGCAAGAAAGACATCCTTCCTTGTGAACTCTTGAGATATGTAAACCCATATACGTGTGTGGAATCTGTAAACGATTGCGGGATCACGGAAGATCTTACCAGCCAGTGTTGTCTTGCCAAGACCAGGCATACCAACGATCGAGATCACATCAAGCTGCTCGGTTTCTGCAGTCAGATATCCTATTATTGTTTTGGTCTCATCTTCAAGCCCTACCAAATTGCGTTGTCTCACTAGGGGAACCTGTTTGAAGAATAGATTTTTCAGAATAAGAAATTTTCATTTGTTAGGTGTCAAAAATATAGTCCTGAATTTTTTTTTTTTTATGTTTTTTTACCAGTGGAGAATTGCTTCTCAAATTCAAGAAAGGTGATTGCGTTTGCACCTATTAACTAGGTGGAAGTCAAGAAACCTTCTAGTATTTTCATAATTTTGTACATTTCCAATTAAAGAACATGGAATTAGGATTGGAATGACTTCTTGTATCCATTACAGTCTATAAATTATGCACTCCATATCATTTTTTCTATAACAAAGAGAGTACAAGTACAATCAAAGTTATCAAGATACCGTTCATCGTGTCAACAAGTATAGCTACTCTGTGGAAGAACTCAAAGAAAATGTGGAACTCACAAAGCATGTCCAAAGCAACAAAGGAACAACTAGTCAAGAAAGAAAAGACTCCAACTCAATAAATTCCAATATTGAAGATCTATTGATGGAAAGGACATACATATTGAAGAACATCCAAATTGGT